GAAACTGTTTTATTCCATCAGAGTGCAGTGCAACTAACTTTTATTAACCTCATTCAACTGACGTATGACAGTGTTATATCAAATGATCCTCAGTGGAGGCTTTAGAACGAAGGCAAGCAACATGCAAAATTGCGTGATGCCAGTGTTGCTATTCTTGACTGAGACTGAGTAGATCATGAAGTGAAGTGTTTACATCGAGAAAATCGGAATATGTTGAGTCATCATAATGACACTAGAGCATTTAGATTTCTTAAATGATCTATGCTTAGTGCTACACGAACTCAAAGACCTCCATGAAAACACCAACACGTTGTATAACGGGTCATCCAACATACAAACTTCAAGTGAACCTATGAAAGATATGGGTTATGAAAGTGACAAATAATCAGGAGAAATTTGAGGGGAGTAATTCTTTTCAACTACAGGCGTCACCGATTATGTTAAAGTCGACAGAATCGGAAAGGAAAAACAGGCATTCAATAATCTGAAATTAGCCTGAAAGCCTACCTCTGTGAGTAAAAATATAAGATTCGGATTCTCAACACCATCGTTAAGTCATTTGTTCTATATGAGTCATCAGCATGGATTGTTCATCACGGAAAGCATTTCCAACAGCCATCTGCAGCTTTTTATTAACGGCTGCTTTCGCTTTACACTGAAAAACACATAGTTAGGAGATATTGGCAGTAAGAGACTCTTGAGGTGAACAAAACAACAAAGAACCTGTCACCTAAAGATTATATCGATGCTGAGTTGGATGAACGGACATATGGTTACGGCTCTTTCAAGTGACGCCGTACGAAAAACTCTCGAGTGAAACCTGAATGGAAAACGATGAGTCATGTAAACCAAGATGACACGGAGCAGATCACCTTTAGAGAAGATCAGAGCTTACGGGAAAATCTTAAGTCAGATAAAGTAAACTGTGGAAACCCGTGTGAGATGCAACCTACTTAGTGAAGCCTGTTATTCCACTTATAACTCAAGAGAATAATAACAGTTGTAAAATTAATAATAATAAATAAAAACGCATAGTTTTAGTTACTTATACCACGTCATTTGTTTGTATAGGTCATTTGAATTTCAGTTTACAATTATCACTGGCAGCGAACTTTATTTTCATTGTTCACGAAGCAGTAAGTGCCAGGATTCAAACTGTACAAATAATAGTAACATTATATTATTTCCAACCTTTGCCTAATTTACTAGCTCTCCAGTTTTTAAGACCAAAAAAAGAGGAGGAGTCTGAAGCGTAGCTGGAGAGTATTCTCTAGAAAATCAATCCAAATGTTAAAGAGACATAAAAGAACAGAAAAATCAATTAAAATTTTAAAAAATATTGAAAGCTAACTTAGTTTTGCTGATATTAAGGAGGAAAACTCACGCGCACTGGTGAAAGCCTTCAAGAAGCCAGTCACTCAGCCAATGTGTCTTCTCTCAATGAATGCCAATATAAGAATGCAGACGTGAAATGGTTATGCCATATACAAGGCTAAGAAGGCTGCCCAGATAGCCAAAGAAATAAGAAGATATATAATGGAAGTGCTACGTATCTAAGACAGCTACTGGAATGGATCTTGACTCTCAGAATTTTGAAATAGCGAGTCAGTAATCTACTCCATTCCTTCAGATAAAAGTCGCGAGCACACAGTGGATGTGGCTATGATGATGTTACCAAAAGTAGAAAAGATCTTATACAGTGGGAACCTAGTTCTTCTATAGGTTCGGGGAGAAAGAAGAAGCAAGATGAAGAATGATCCTCAACAGGCACTTGAAAGCTAATATAAGAGAGGAAAGGATGATGGTGAAAGAGAAAATCAGTCACAGTCAGCTCCACAGTATATAACAGACTGATTATGTGAGTCAAAACGAGTAATGCAGATACACTTCCAGAGCTCAGCACTATAAAGACATTTAATGCAACAGATTCCAATGTCAGAGGGTCACATGATAGCGCAATATGAGAGCTGTAACTATGGCTTACAAGAATCAACTGCAAAGATCTGAAAGGTAAATTATCAAGTTTGACTGGAGAGTTGAATGTTAGTGTCTGACATCCAGACACAAAGAAGAGTCGTATATATGGTCAGTGAGGAGTACATGGCAAAAAGTCAGATAATGGCGACCGTCTTCATCAGCTTTGTGGAGATCACATTCTTTTTCTAGACACCACCTACTTCTGGAACTGTAATGGTCTCCGTTTTCACGATAAAGTCGTATTTATTCATCGAAAGCAATATTTGGCGAGTCACTTCCCTTTTTTGGGAAACCGCCGTATCCAGCATCATAATTGATGATCCGCTATTGGAATGTTTGTAATCGAATTTCGATCATTTAATTAATCAGTGCATACTCAATAAACATCGAGTCATTTAACTGTGAACACATGGAAAACATGTACTTACTTGTCGGAGTTGCTATGTCGTGGTAAAATCGATTTATTAACATAATTAATGTTTTCATCCATAAGTGGAGTTTTTATTCCTTCACGCTACCAATGGAACATAGGGTTTCAAGCTAAAGGCTTAATGTTTCTGTAACAATAGTGATTATTTTTACAGGATGCGACTGTCAGCCTCATGCCTAACCTTCCCCCTTAACCAGTCTTACTCCTGGTTTAGCGAGGTACAGGAGTGCGTTGGCCGAGGATAGAGCCTTGGACCACATGATGCGTGGTTGGAGAGCACTCTACCACCGTTCCACCGAAGCACAAGTGATGTACAATTCTCAATTTATATATATATAGCTGAATTTTTGAAAATTCTGCATAACGACGCTCTTTGCATCTCCCCATCAGCCGTATATTAATTATGACCTAGGGATGCTTTCTTTTTTACGGCAGTTTTTTATAATTGTAATTAGTGTTTGCAATTGTCATTTAAAGTATATATAGATACTCAAAAACACCCAACCGTTCTTGCTGTTGATTCAAAACATTACTAGCATTCTACATCAATGTTCTTCTTCATCCACCACGAGTGTGACACTATTGTTCCCAAATGTTAGTGCTGCTGAAGAAGCATAATCGAGAAGGCTCGGCTGTACCAACGATCCTGTCATATTGCCAAAGTGCTGAGAAAGTATCCGTAATTCACAAAATATGGGTTGAATAGAGTTGAAGTCAACATTTATGAACACTCGAGACACATAAACACTTGGTGTGCAAAAAGATACATGGGATATGCGACCTCATATGTTGTAGTACCTGTAGCGAATGTAAAATAAACACGTGCAAATTACTGTTTCACTCAGATTTCAAGTGGTGAACACTTGGTATTGCACGGCTGACGATGTATTCTGACGTCTCGAAACAAGATTTAAATACAACTAAGGTGAAGATTTGTTAGCACATGTTACACATTTTCTGTGTCACTTGAAACAAACGCACACGAGACATGGAGTAAATTGTGATGGTGACGAAATCTAAGTTAATATGCGTGTACAAACTGTGACATTTATTCATCATAAATGATACAAAATATTTAATCGCATTCGAATTTCATTTCTAAAGAAATGGCAAGGTGTGAATAAGGATTTATGTCGCAATGCGTATGAAAAAAACTCTATTTTACAAAATAAGATTTATGGAAAATTGTAGGTGGGTGCGTTATCATGAAGAGTCCCAAGCTAGGAATAAACGGCTTTTTGGTACTCTTAGATTCTCCAATGGTTCTGCAACTGATGTCAGCTCATGATGAAATTCTGCAGCCAATAAAATATAATTCATTTCGTCGAAAACTTGCATATTATTAAATGCATTGAGCCTTTGCAGTCCTAGGAGAAGTAGTCCGTTTTGCTTAGTATATGATGGAGTAATTATCAAATCTGTCCGACATGGTGTCGGTTACTATCCTTATAGGAAATTATGCAGTCTTAGTTGTGTCCTGTATATCCCACTGCTTAGAGTGTAAGTGCATGTCACTAAAGGCCATGAAGTTGAGTAGTATTTCATTTCGGAAACAGTCATCAAAGATGTCGTATTAGTCTGACAGAAAACTCAATAATTGCATGAACTCACGTTGGGGTGCAGCTAAATGGTGGTTATCAAAAATATAATAGTTGATGTTCATCTCAAATGCCTAATAACAAACATGCTCCTGCATTGCAATAATATCAGCAAACATGGCATAAGTGAAAACATCAATATTCAGGCAGAGAAGTCTGCTGTTGTGAGGGTTGGATTGCATAGTATGCGTTGTACTGTGAACTCGTAAAATTTGTGAAGTCGAAAAAAATCATTGTCAAGACAAAAAGAGACTGACATAGTTATGTGTGATGAATTCCGCTGACATGTCTTTGGGACAGTTCTTCAACACATTGTGTCGTTTTACGCATATATACTGAGATGAAAGATACTCAGCAACCTTGACAGGAGAGTGCAAGACATCAATGTGAGTACATACTCAGAGGGAGAACCAGACATGGTTTCATTTGGTAGGAGATTTAGTGAGGGATTTAATGAGTTCTGGATCGGAAACACGACGAACAGGTATAAACACAATGATGGAAACGAACAAAATCTTACATCGAAAGTGGAGACTTCATAGCCGACCAATAGAGAACTAATCAACCTTCTCACTACAAAATCTAAAACATACATTACTTAAAGACCGAAACCGACAATAAAGCGGGGAAAATCGTGTTAAAAAAAGGGGAAAAAATTGGGCGATAGTAAGATTTCCCCTTTTACCTAGGTGCCGCACATCCCCCCTTTATTAAACGTCAAAATTTCCCTTTATTTAGTAGAATTCCCCACTTTTACACGCATATTTTCCCCTTATTTTGTTTACGTCAAACAACTCACAATTCAAATAAAGGTTCGCTATGAAAATAAATATATATTTCTTTTTTTTCATTGGTTAAAGGGGGTACAGTTAACAACAATTCGGCAAATTTATTCTTGAAGATTAATGAGCAGTTACAGTTGCGAATGATACACACAAGTAGAATGACAGTCTTTGAATATGAAATCTGAATGCAGCTTTACCGCTGCCCCCCACCCCCCATCAACATCAAGTAGATCCATTGAACTATCCTGAAAAGGCAGAAAAATTAGTTAGTAAGGTAATAATCCACTGTGACACTTACACAGACAATTGACATATTAATAATAATAATAATAATGATACATTAGACGTGTTTATTCAGATTTAAAAATTTACTTAATTATTAATTATCAATCAAATTATTTGTCTACATCATATAAATGCTCACACTTAAAGACCTTAAGTGTGAATATTTTTTAACCTGGAATTTTCCAATGAACACACAATAATAATTGAGACATATACACAGAGAAACCATGTACTGTTGAACCAACTGTCTATCTAAACACGTAGTTTATATAATTAACAGCAGTAGTTATGATAACGTTGACCATTACACACTCGTATTACTGAATTTTACAGCATTAACTTAGTTAAATTGTCACTTACAGTAGAGACCCTCTCGTCAATCTTAATATTGTCAACAGCAACCTGTGAAAAATTAAAACAGAATTTAGTGGATTGACATTTATACCATGAAACGGTTTGTAGTAAAGTAACATTAATTTAACAAAAACTGTTTACTTACTCTTCGCCGGCTCCCCCTTTTTGCTACACGATCACGTACGTCGTGGAAGTAGGCCTTTGCAGTCTCTGTCAAAGATTTTGTAAATTCGTCCTCGGGCATTGTAGCAGAAGCGAACTTGCTGACAATGACGACTGAAAGAAATATTTAAATAAAGCAAGCTTACACGTTATAACTTTATAGAAGTAGCATTTTGTGAGGGCTAACTTCTTTGATGTTCCGAATGCTGTGAAACGACTGGACACCTTAGGCTTCCAAACATGATATTGACTAGCATACTTGTCTCATACGAGTCACATGAGTGACATTATCAGAAAATACCTTGACCCCTTATATTATATTATCACAGTCAAAGTGACAATAACAAGTCACAGGTAGATTTCTCAGTGCGACTGCAATGTAATGTTATTGGCCACTATTCTTAAAGTATCTACATTTATATACATGCACACACACATAAACATATGTGAATGTGTGTGGGTCTGTCTGAATTCATGTATGACAGAAAACGCTTTAGTTATCAGGAAAAAAGTAATACGGTACTTACCTTTAAGTGTTAGCATTTTCCTCTTTTTTCTACTTGTAGGATGTTTTCATAATTTTCAAAAGGAAACTGTCGATGTAATTACGTTACGAAAAATGCATCAATTAGCTCATGCGTTTTCTTCAATTGAAGTAGTGGTTTAGAAATTTCTCCCTAAAACTTTCACTACTTACAATTTATCAGTAACCTCAGCTGTGTTTTGAAATTCGCACGCATATCTAATCATTGGCATTGTAATTAGTATGATTCGAGGTCATTATTTCTGTTGTCCTAAGTTAAAACAAATTGAATATGATAAATTAGAAGAACTATTTTGGTGGATGGATTTTGGTTGTCCAAGATACAAGCTGCTGACAAGGAGCAACTTCAGGATCTAACATTTTAATGCTCACAGTTCTCTTCAGTTTTTATACTTGATGTCTACGAATTCGCTGCGTTAGCTACAGTAATGTCATCTCATCTTTCCATATCTGACTTCAAATCTCGTACTGTGTTCTGTCTCCGTTTGTACTTAGGGTTTTAAGCCGGAACTTTAGGGTTACATAAACAAGATGACGCTCAGACCAAAATGCTCCATTTCTCAATATTGTATCCATCAGGCTGTGCCTCCATTTTCGTGACCGGCAGAAAGATGAAGTCTTTCTGAATTGTCTTGTGTGCGTCAAGTGATTCTCATTTTGCTTTATGTATATCATTGTGTTTATATGAGCTACCTCAACCCACCACATCAATGAAGACGAAGAAGTAGCCGAAGAATTCTGCACTATCATTCATTTCATCGACCGAGAGTCTCTCCAAGCTCGATGTTCTCTCAACGCGAATTCTCACCCATTAGGATTTGTTGTTACCATTTAGGACATTGTTCATTGCTGTTTGAAATTTTGCGTGGAATTCTCACTTCCTACATTGCTTAGAGTTGTTTACAGGTGCAAAGCGTTGCATAATTTTAACTTCCACTAATTTTGAGTTGTATCTTGCTGGAGGAGATTGGATTTTATTGCATATGAGTGTAGTGTACATTGAACCTGTGAACCTTTGTTTCATCGCACCCACCCCTTTTTGGCACTACTTCATCTTTTGATTTGCGACTCTCCTGCACATACTTGGTTCGCTCTCACGTTTCGCTCTCATTCAGCGAGCTCTTTGAGCCTACCACCAGTCAAGGCAGCAGAAAAGTTGTAGAAAACCTTAATTGATTAAATTTAATATTTCGTTTGTGTAAAATACAACTCCATCCCAGACATTTTTCTCATCTCAAGTCTTTTTATTATAAATTATTTAAATTAATCCCAGAGTGTTAAGAAAATCAAAACATGATTTTTCTGAACGCTTCGCCGTGTAAGCCGCAGCTTCTTCAGCAGATTTATTCGGATTATAACTAATCATCAAAATATATAGTCAAAAATTTTTTACATAAAATGAAGTCAGTTTATTTGAAGGTCATTTGTCTATGGACATTTTTTACCAATAGAAGTATGTAAGCAGTCCTCACATATATTTGTAATGACTAATGTCAAATTGTTGTTGTGTTTACTCTTCTATAGTTGATTTGCAAAGATTAGATTTGTATGTGTGTGTGTATGTTATTTGTCATATGGAAAATACGTGAATTCATGTGATAAACGTGTCACTACATGTTTTAAAGGTCACGGAGGCTTATAGAGTGTTTGTTGTTTTTTCATTTGTCTTGCTTCATAAGAGTTTGCCATATAGGAGATAAGTCTATACCTTCTTTCCTATTCACTGCATTTGATGTGGTTAAAATGTGTAAGGCTTCCGAAGTCAATCTCTCTTTATGTGAATGAAATCCTCTTCCAAGAATTTCAACATTGTCAAAATCAATCTTATGTCCGCTGTCTATCACATGCATTGCTATAGCCGATCTTTTTAATTCTACTTCATTTTTAGGTGGACGTTTCATTCACTCTGACCTTCACCTGCCTACTGCTCTCCCCTATATAGCATGCATCACATTCTGAACACTTTATCTTGCAGACACAAATACTTTGTGACATTTTGGGGACTATATCTTTGACATGCACCAGCGCTTTCTCTAGAGAATTAGAAGGTTTGACATAGACTTTAATATTATATGAAGCAAATAGTCTTTGAAGTTGTTCAGCTGCGTCTTTTCGATATGGAATGGCTATCGTTGATAGCCAGGATTTTTCAAATTTTGGTTTTCCTTTATGCTTATTTCTATTGATGATATCATCTAGTAGCTTTTCAGGATAACCATTTCGAATCAAAATCTGTTTTATATCGGTTATCTCGTTCTCCACATCGTCATAATCTGTTATAATGTTTCTAGCTCTGTTAATGAGATTTAAAGCTACCGAAACTTTCATTCCTATTGGATGATCTGACTGGAAATTCAAATACTTGTTGCAATGTGTCGGGTTTCTGTATATGATGAACTTTAGTTTCTCGTTAGTTTGTCTTTTTACAAGACACTCAAGAAAGTTTAGAGTTCCCTCAGCCGATTCTATTTCATTAGTAAACTCAATATATGCTTAGATTAAGTTAATTTCTTTTAGAAAGTTTTCCTTTTCAGCTTTCCTTATGACAATAAATGTGTCACCTACATATCTGTACCAAATTTGCATCAGCGTCCGAACATTGTAGGTGGTCAGCTTAAACGCGGCAGGCGGTTTTAGGATATCTGTGTTAGATGTCACATTGGGGACAACCATTTTGAAAGTTACCCACTAACATCTCGAAACGACACAGATAGACTGGGAATCCAGACAAAGGCGAAAGGCTGTCGAAGGCTAAGAAGTCAAGTTTAGCAAAGGTAAAATACAGGAATCTATGTAGAAAAATAAAAGTAAGGTTGGAAGGGCATAATTTGCTTGAGGCATAATTATTACTTGAAATCATTTTTTACGAGAGCTCGGTGATTTTCAGCGATAGTTCGTTGTTTTATTTCATTCATTGTGTGAGGGCTGAGATACTATCCGGCGCTCAGATCGAAGCAGGTGGTTTTATTAAGGGACCACCCCCTCAAGGCTTTGACTTGGAGTCTAATCCCCAAGGCAGCGGAGCAGCGTCAGGAGCTGCATTCCCATGGTTGCCGGCGTCCCATATGGGTTCATACGCCATTTGATCCGATTGGATACTGGAGCTCATGTACCCCATGGTAACTGCTTTTAGTTTAACCGCTGTCCGAACAACCTTCCTGACATGGTAGGACCTGCAGGGACATGAGTCCCACCCAGTTTAGCATGTTGGGTCACTGCGGTGTTCAAGCCCGACCACCACGGCAAGGTAGCAGTTGTCTGCCGGGTAACTAATCTTAGCTCTTCCTCATGTATATACCGTTTCAACTGTTCCTGCGGTTCAAGCTATATAGGGCTTAAAATTAAGCAGTTTTGTCTACAGATTCATGAACATTTGCCAGCTTGCTTCGGTGGCAGGGAAATCAAATGCATAAAAAAAGTTCGATTCTATCACATTTGATCGATACAGGACATCATATCGACTCTAAATTAGCCTTTAGGGTTATATACCACATTCCGAAGTCATTGTCAAAGTTCGCTTACGTCCTGCACATATAGCTGAAGATGTCGCAATAGGATCGACTTAACTGGAACTTGTATTCAAAAAGAACAGGTTTATGCACTGTTCCTACAGTAACCGAACTTGAATTACAATTTTTTCTCTTCTCCAAGAGTCCCTTTCCCTTGATCCTTTTTCATTTTCTTTGCATATTATAATTTATACCCTTTATTCTGTATTCTTTCAACACTCTCAAATTTCCCATTCATACTCTTCGGACTTATCGCTGGTGATGACATCTCCTTTCTGAAGAGATGCCTCCACCTGTTCCATTTCACAAATCGGTTATTTCACGATGATATCAGTTAGTAAAAAATCTTTCCAAGTAGATACAACATAATGATTCTACAGAGAGTATGTATTGACTTGAAAGTCATTTATCTATGCAAAGTAATAATTCCAAAGCTTCAAGTGTAGTACATGTTTCTAATGCATCAATCGGTCACTAGGGTGTGACCAGTTTTATCTACTTAGTCCTTATTTCTGACCGAATTCTACCAATCAAGTTAGCTACCTGGTCACCAAATTGAATGACTCACCATCTCCGTGCACTTTCAAATGATCAAGTATTACATACAGGTTTAATGTTTAACTTCTTATTGTATGTATACTTCAAGCGACACATATCAGTGTCGACTGATTTATTGCCAACAACAAATGCTTAGCATTGACTCCAAATTCGAACGATATAATTTGAAGAGAATTATGTAAAGTATTGAAGTATGCGCAGCTTATTTCAACAAAGTATAACATCTAGTTGATGAAGTATAAATAACCCTAAGTTAACATACTGGATGAAGTATCATAGTTGAACACTGAATGTAAACGTAATTGTTTAAGTTGTCCTACTTTCCCAAAAAGGAAATAGAAAGAAAAGAAGAGAACACTATTAAAACAAAGAAACAAAAGTATTACAGGAGAGAAGGAGAGAGAGGAAATAATTTGGTGCAGATGAATGAAAATATTCCGATGATGATAAGTAAGTACATCTTTGATGGTTTAACTCATTAAAAATGAATTTCACAATTTTATAATTCTAAGCAGTCGATTTCAGAGAGGAGTTATTGTCTTAAATAAGTGTTAGTCGCATACTGATTTAATTGAAAGTTACCCAAAGATTCCCATCTTTGGTTTAGTCCTTTTGTATTTGCTTTGCACAGCCCAAAAAAGAACAACTATTGATCAGACTAGCAGTTAGGTCATTGTAGAAATTCACATAGAAATTTTACAAATAATGATCTTAACAAAGATTGTTTTAATAAATAATAAAATCAAATGAAGTTTTGTAGTTACAAAATGCCAATATTAATAGTAATCACTTACAGAATTAAGTTTCCTTAAATAATCACATATCAATTTAGCTGATTGAATAGCTGTTTCATGTGGAAATACTGTAATGAGTGCAGATTTATTGAAGTGATTTTCAGTTGTTAGATTATTCGACTGAATGAATGCACTAACTTGTGATTTATTGCCAATAGTTAATGGGACAACAGAATTATCCGATGAAAAAGACAACGGTATCGACATTAAAGGCTGTAAAAGTGCAATGGAATCATCATCTGCAAAAAACAATTTAAAGATAGAAAGATAGAATATAAACTATTAGGATAAAAAAAACATTCATACCTTAAATTGAATTGAATTCTTAACTCAGAACTTTACCCGAATGTAGAATAGTTTAAGCTGTTGCACTTCAATAGAAGCTCACATAAAGACTGAGAAAAGAGGCTCAGTGAAACTATAATAAACGAAAATGTGTAGAAAGAAGAATAATTACAGACGAAGAATGAATCTGGAAGGTCGCAATAAGTGAATGCCCCTAGGCCATTCAAGACTATTTTGAGCCACATCAACAACAGTCTCCAAGTATGGACTGGACTACACCGACTCCAAGATTAGAAATAGGGAGTGAAGTGGTAGAGCACGTTGACCGTTTCACCTATTTGGGAAGTACCATTAGCCAACCCCAATGTGTTGATCTCTGACAAAATCTCATCACGGATACGGAGGGCTAGTTTCGCATATACCAGTTTACGCCGTCTCTGTTGTAGACGTGATATCCGGCTATCGACCAAAGGGTGGGTGTACTGCTCATCAGTCCGCTCCGTCCTCGTTTATGGCTGTCAGACGTGACCATTGAGAGTGACATACATGAAAAGATTAGCTGTCTTTGATCATAGGTGCCTGCGCTCTATCTCCCGTGTGAAGTGGTATAATAGGGTGAGCAATATTGAGGATAGGCGTCGAGTTCTAGCTAAGCTGGGGAAATGAATAGACGAGGCTGTGAAATTACATCGACTGAGATTGTTAGGACATGTGTTGCGTATGCACGCCTAGTCATCGCCTTCCTCGACAAGCAATGTTGGTGGATATAGGGTCAGGCTGGGAAAAAGCTAGCATGGCACCAGTCAATGAAATATACAACAGTTAGTCTAAGTCACGTAGGAAGATGTAGACTTCCTGACTGGTTGGGGTCCTCGGGACGGTAAAAATCAATGGTTGGAAACAATTGGTGACATGGTTCAAAGAGATCGTTCTCAATGGCTGGCGCAGATGCATCCACTCCTTGTGGCTTATGATTTCCAATGAAACTGTTTTGTTCTTCGTTATTACTTTTCCTTTGTCTCACACTTCTGTTTACTGTCTCTAATATGCATTTCTTCTACTTTCTTCTGTTGGTTTGTGTGGTACGTGGAGGGAGTGTGTCGACTTGAACCGCTCACATATGTGCAAAGTTCTATGTCGAAAACAGACACACAGACATGGATTCTTAGCATCTCAAAGGCATATACCAGGCAGTTTACACCCCGTAAGTGGCTCTGATATTTATTATTACATTATTCTCATTTTCTCTTCTTTTTTTAAGATTTTCTTACGTATTAAAATGTAACAGTCTTCTGATGTCTTTTCCGACTGCTTGTTAAATGGATTCTGATTTTTAAGGGGATTTATACAACTGCTGATGGTGTTTTTTAGATTTAAGACAAACCATTCTGTGCTATTATTTATCCTATATGGTGTATAATAAAATTTATACTCGTACAGAATGACCAACAGAGACGTAAATCACCATCAAGTCACGACAGTGGTTGCCAAGAGATACAATTACATCATTCATGGAAAATTTAAATAAGTCCATTTTATATTAAAAACCTTCACTGAAGATGTTGCCTAGAAGGACAACAAAAGCTTCGCAATTAAATCAAACCGGTCAGAGAACACAATTTATTCAGTGTAACTACATATTGCTCTCTGCAAACTAAACTACGCCCATGGTGAAGTGTTTTATGTAGGGATGACAAAGAATAATTATATGATAAAAGAATTTTCTCATTAATTTTCTCCTAGTTTATTTTGTGGCTTACTAAAAAAGTATAATGCCTGAAGTTCTTGTGATAGGGAATGGCTTATAAGGTTACCAGAACTCAGTGAGAAGGTTGATATTTCCTTTTTAAAATATTGTCGGTGAAGAGATGTTGATTACTGGAGGAAATTATAGGAGGTGAATCATTTCATGGGAAAATTAGAAAACCCATTATTAGCAAATTACACACTTCGGGACGAATATTCCTTTGAAAACGTAGAATATTTGTAGCACAAAATGTAATCTGCTTGACATCGGAAATGGCACCAATAAAGGCAGTATTATGTAAAGCATTATACACACTGTCGTTGATGTGAATAACTGGAAACTGTTCACATCAACTAGTCGTGTTTGCTAGCTAGCTAGCTTGATCTATCTTAAACTTCAGAAAGTCATTTAGAATATTAGGGACCAAGCTTATCGGCGGTGTGTCCAGATCGACGACACTTAATGGGTAGATTCATCCTAAGCCACTCAAAATCTGGACAGATACTTGATGGAACTAGTAATAAGTAGAGCTGAATTTGTTATTCAGAAATTATACTTAATCAAGTCCGTTACACTACCGAGGAGCTCGGCCTCAATCGAGCAAATTATGTTTAAGTAATTTTACTTTAGCTGTCAGACACTACAGGGTTGATCTCCATGGCCACCAATCACACACCATTCAGTAATGTCTTCGTTGACGCACACTGATACCATAGTGTGACCACCTAGTTGCCTTCAAATAAAAAGGTGTGATATAGTACAAATGCATAATACTGTGATAAAAAAATTTTTTAATACTTACTTTGTGAAACGAAATCAACTTGGTTGAGAAAATAGTGAATTACTGTGATAGAAAGTAGATGAAATACAGTGTTCTTCCTCATCTATAATTATCATTCACAAATATACCTATGTGGTCTTAACGACTTCTGAAAGATTTATATACTGGATGACTGAATGTTTAATTAATTTCAACGTAGATTCAGTCATAAACCAACATTGTTAGAACATCACGGAAGACAACATAAAACTGAACACCTGTTTCTTTCTGGCTTTCAACCCTCCAATAGCGTGACAGTACACTTCACAAGGTGGAAGTATTTGGTTCAGTAGTAGGTGTGCACTGTAGGAAAGTCACAAACTAGGACGAAATAGATATTTGGTGCTCTTTTTTCTGTAGTTTTCCAACGGTGTTGGTTCCTGATAAAATCTCCCCTGGATTTTAAAAGGACATGATAGGTAACAGCTGAGTTGAAGTTTCTTAGTTGCATTATTACACTATCTTCCTGAGTTTTCAGAGTGTAGGTTTAGAGATATTTTTATGTTATTTCTGATCGTGAGCATATGTAACCTTTTTATATGTACATAATTTTTCCAAATGCCACATACTACTGATGTTAAATCAGTAGACCAATTTTACCAACAAAAATATTGAGGAGGCAACACGTAGAGTTCAGTAAATTGTCTGTATAATTAATTTTGTGAAGCATCAATATGTACCAACCACATAGATTTTCGGAAGTGATCTTTGGTCAGATTTCATGAACATGAATTTCACGGTTGGTTTTATGCCTTATAACAACAAATGGAGAGACAATCTCATTTCTGGACATCCGACTTACAAAGAAGATTAATGGGACTCTGAAGAGATCAATATATCGAAAGCCTGCGTGGAACGGCCAGCTGACAAACCTTTACAGTTGGGTATCCATCGATCGCAAGTGGAACCTAAAAATCTCTTGTGACTAGAGTCTGTAGCCCCGAATCAGTAGATAAAGAGATCACTTTTTTGCGAAAGTGAATACGCTTTAAATTATAATTATTCCCTTGCCTTCCGAGTGTAACAAGGGGCTTCAACAACACATCTGCACTTTGTTCTGCTTTCTGTCATCCTATTCGGCTGGGTCCACGACTGCCCACAATCTCTCATCTTTTCCTCGCATGATCTTCTCCATGTCACCACTGGAACAACACCACACTCGTGGCTTCCATTGGGATTCCACTCGAGCGATGGCCTGCATTCAGCGCAATGTAATTCGACGGCCTCCCAACGTATGCCCGATGCATCTCCATCTTGTCCGACATATTTGTTGAGCAATCGGCTCTTGGTTGGTTTGTTGCCAGAGTTTCTTGTTACTGATTCTTTCTGGCTAGCCATTTGACCTTCAGTATGGAGCCAGAGAAGTGGGTAGCTGTTGATAAAAATTTGCAACCTGTTGGAAATGCTTCTCGTGAAACGCTGGCCAATTTTCTAACCCGTATAAAAGAACTGACTGACTCCAAATTTGTGTTGAAAACCCCAATATTGTTCTTTATGCTGGCTGAATTAGTGCTGAAGATTCACAAACTGGTTTCAGGTTGATGAAGGCGTATCTAGCTTTTCTGATCCTGACTGGCTTTGACATCTCCATCCCTGCTGTCCACCGTGATTGAAACCGTGCCTCCTAGATAAGAGGAGAAAGTAACCTGTGTCAAATCTCTTCGGTTGATGGTGACTGGTTGTTGTTGCTGTTGGTTGTTCATCTTCACCACCTCCGTCTTCTCTATGTTCACTTAGAGTCCTATCTTCGCCATCTGCTTCTTCAGCTGGTATGTTGGTTTTCGCCTGCAAGTGGTGGAGTTTTGTGACATTAAACATATTTCATTCACACGCGAAATCTAGATCTTCTAGAGTCCTCTTATCAGTGGTCCAGCGTATTCCTATCTGCTTGCTCCCTACATATTAGAATGCTTAAACACTATAGATATTCTGTTCGTAAAAGTGAACAGTTATTTAGATTAACTCTAGTCCCAGCTTTTTCGCTGGTGATTTTGTTAATTTCACTTGAGTCTCATTGGTGGATTACATAACAGAAAACGAAATCTTATAAGATTTATGAAACAAACCCATCCTAAGTGACTTTAGAAACTTATCGACTGTTTCTGATGCATACTCACATTTGAGGAAATGATATATTTATCCGGCAAAGTTTAATCAATATGCATTATGTAAAAGGGCCGCCAATTTTGATGCAGTGAATATCCTTATGCCAAACATATTGCTACTAACTGGCCTTTCTGGGGAATAGTGGAAATTTAAATATTTCAGTGCGAATTTTAATTGATATGAGTTGCCTTTTCACTAATTTTTATTTTACTATTTGTATCGCCTATCGAAAATTTAAGCCATACATCTTAGATCATTTAAGCACTTTCAAAATTGGGCTC